CAAATCCTTCTATTTGATTAACACTTGTTATAATTATTTAAATCAACTGATCTGTTCCTTTAACCTTGTTATATTAATATGTTTACACAGGTTTTATTAAAGAATTTGGAGAGGGACTTCCATCAAGTCCTTCAAATTCAAAGACGTATGAGGACAAACATATCAAAATTCGCTCAAAATTTGGGGGAGCAAACAAAATAGCTGCCTCGCCCGATTTGATAGATCTCTTAAAAAAGACAGAGACAAAGAAAGTGCACATATCCAAATGAAGTATGCATCAAACCCTGAGTCGCCCGATAAGTAAGTGTACATGTTAAAATATTAAAAAATTCAAACTTTATATAACAAAAAATCTAATATAAATTTAATTCTTATATTCTTAGGGAAATATTAGTGGATATTGACAATAATAAAGATAAAGAGATGGAGAAAAGCATAGAGAAAGATGGTGGTGATTTAAAAATTGAGAGAGATATTCAAAATGATAAGGATATTAAGAAAGAGGAGCAAATAATACAACAGTCTAGCCGTATTGTGATAGATCTTGGTCACCTAGAAAACTCTCCAGTGAAGCCTTCAAAATCGATGCGTGTCAAGCAACCAAGTTGATTCATAAAATCTCCATTTTACATTGAATCGGTTAAGAAGCGTAAAATTTTCTCTGACAAATATACGAAGAGAGTATTGAAGTATGCATCAAGCCTCGATGCACCTCTTAAAAAAATCTTGATTATGTAATAGTTATGTAATATTCATTTTGTTCTTATATTTTTAGGGAAATATTGGTGGATATGCATGAACATTACTTACGCCGCAGACAAGTTCGGATATTACTGAGTAGAGAATGGATTGATAGCCTGGTCGGTGTTATTGTTTTATGAAATGTATTTACGTTAATAATGTATTTAAATGCGATATTAACAACTAACACATTAAACTTTCAGCTTGTTGACATTCTCGTGAAAGTGTTGCTGATTAAAAACAATCAAAAGAGATACTTCTTCTTTGATAGTTCTATTTGGGTAAGTCTTTTGTATAAAATGTTATTTTATCAATGATTCAGGCATTTGTTGTTGATGTTGCTTTGTACGTGTGTAGTCATCAATTTTAAAGGGTCATGAGTAAGTTGGTATTATGCGGAGAGTTTTTTTGGGTGACGTATAGAGGAATAACTTGATGATGTTTAGATTAAATGAAGATGAAATTCTAAAATGTAGACTGGTATGTATGATTCATTTAACTATTGATGATTCGTTTCATTATCCGTATTCTATTTTTTATATTTATAATTATGATGTGTTCCAGTTCTTTTTCCCTACGTCAAATAACAACCATTGGCTCCTCTACGTTGTTGACATTGACAAATTAACCATTTACTACCTGGACTCCTTTGACAATAAGATTAGAAGACAATACGTTTACTTACTGGTAATGAGGTTTTAATGAACTCCTTATTAGAAGTTTCAATGTGTTTTTTTCTGTTAGTTTTGAAGTTTCAATGTTATTAACTAACGTGTATGAATATCATTTATAATTGCAGAAGGAATTCATGGGAATTTTATTTAACAAGACTAAAAAATTCGAAAAATTCAAAATTGTTGATGTGAAAGTCCCAAAACAATCCGATGGGTATGATTTTGTTTTTTATTTTTATTTTTATTTTTTCAAAGAAAATTAACTAATTTAATTACGAAATTTTTTTATTATGTTATCAGTTTGTCATCCAATTTTTATCATGTTATTGAATATTAGGGATAGTTGTGGAGTGTTCATGATGAGGTACAGGCAACTTTTTAATGGCCAATTGGAGCTCAAGTTCGACACAGTATGTTAAAAAAATTCATATCCGTAGTGGCTTCATCTTATAAATGTCAAAATTCATATGTGTAAATGTAATTCAGTGTGGCTGCTCTTGTTTGCAGGTAGACCCATATGAAATGAGATGCAAGCTTGGATTGGAGCTACTCTTAGATAAAGATAACAAACACATTCAAAAGTTGAGGGATATTATGCAGAAAGATTAAAAAAATTGATTTTTCAAATAAGATAGTGTTACAACATGTACATTTCATTATCTATTGATTTGATCTGGTTGACTTATAAGTTCATTTCTTTTAATTTGATTGAATTAAGCAAATTAATTAGAAATATTGTTTCCTTTGTTTATAAGTGAATTAAACAAAGTTCACCTTTTGATTGATTTGTTCCCTTTGCTTTATCTTCTTCAAAGAAAAAAGAAATTATCAACCTCAAAATTAACAAAATTAATCTTTTTATTGATTTGTTCAGTGGTGAATGTAGCATATTGCATTCTTGTTCAGTGGTGTTGAGAAAAATATTATTATTAAAGGTGTTGAGAAAAAAAGATTAAAAATGTGTTGAGCTATAGATTAAAGATGTTGAAAACAAGATTAAATAGTGTTGTAAACACGATTAAAGGTGTTGAGAAAAAAGATGAAAAAATGTTGAGAACAAGATTAAAGGTGTTGAGAAAAAAAAGTAAAAGGTGTTGAGAACAAGATTAAAAGATGTTGAGCTAGATATTAAAAAGTGTTGAGAATAAGATTAAAAAGTGTTGAAAAGAAGATCAAGAAGTGTTAAAAACAAGATTAAATGGTGTTGAGAACAATATTAAAGATGTTCAGAATAAGATTAAAAAGTGTTGAGAATAAGATTAAAAGGTGTTGAGCTAGAGAAAAAAAAGTGTTGAGAACAAAATTAAAAGGTGTTGAGAACGAGATTAAAAAGTGTTGAGAACAAGATTAAATGATGTTGAGAACAAGATTAAAGGTGTTGACAAAAAAGATTAAAAAATGTTGAGAACAAGATTAATGGTGTTGAGAATAAGATTAAAGGTGTTGACAACAAAATTTAGGTGTTGACAACAAGATTAAAAGGTGTTGAGAATAAGATTAAATGGTGTTGAAAACAAGATCAAAAGGTGTTGAGAACAAGATTTATGGTGTTGAGAAAAATATTATTATTAAAGGTGTTGAGAAAAAAAGATTAAAAAAGTGTTGAACTATAGATTAAAGGTGTTGAAAACAAGATTAAATGGTGTTGAGAACATGATTAAAGGTGTTGAGAAAAAAGATGAAAAAATGTTGAGAACAAGATTAAAGGTGTTGAGAAAAAAGTGTAAAAATTGTTGAGAACAAGATTAAAAGATGTTGAGCTAGATATTAAAAGGTGTTGAGAATAAGATTAAAAACTGTTGAAAAGAAGATTAAAAAGTGTTGAAAACAAGACTAAATGGTGTTGAGAACAAGATTAAAGGTGTTGAGAAAAAAGATTAAAAAAATGTTGTTCTTAAAATTAAAGGTGCCACTTTTTAATCTTTTTATCATGTTCAAAAATTGTAGAATGAAAATGACAATGCAACAAACACTGTATCCTCCATGAAAGGAGAATAGTTACACAAGAAAACATGAATCAAGAGGTCAATGATCTTCCAAGTAGCTGTCAATATTGATTTTTGATCTGGATAGTTGGTATCTGATGGCATCGTGAAACATCGATCACCCATGGCAACTAAGTCCAAGAAACTTTTCCACTTCTTTCAAGAATTCTAAAACTAGTAAACTATCAAAACTGTTCAACGAAATCATCCCTTGTTCAACTCTGTTTTCAAAAGACTTTTTTTATTTGCTTTTTGAGAACAAGAAGCTATTCTTAGAAAATCCAAACCATGCATGCAGTCCCATGTTTTTGAAGAAACTAAAAGTGCCAAAGCAATCCATCTGAAAATTTGACATTCACTTCGTACACAATGCTATTATCTTTTTCATTTACCCAATTTAGTACATGCTGCAAACATCAATTATAAGTACACTAAAAACAAATTCAATAATCAAACGAACAAACCCTCCTGCCAGTATCTTATTCATTTACCTAAACTAATGCAGAGATTGTACTAAATTCAAAACACAAACTACAAAAATACAGTAAATTTAGAAAGACAAAATTTAACTCTTAAAATCAAAACATCAAGTCAAGAAGGAAAACCATAAGTAGAGAACACAATGCTACAACGACAAACAAGTTATCATAGATAAAAGGGCATGAATAGAAGCATTAACAATCTCCTGAATTCATAAGAACCAAATAATGGAACTCAACTAGGGAAGTATTCCCAAGGGAAGTAAAGTAAAATCAACCATCTTCAATCAAGCTAATTATTTCCGGTACCATCTACTTCATCTACAAAATTATGGGGGGTGAGCAAAGGCCTGGCGGATACAAAACAACGCCATAGATGTCTTCTCAAGTACAACTTCAAGAGTTTAGATCAAAGGGTTGCATTTAAAAAAAATACAGTAAATAAAAATAAAATATGTATTACCATCAATAAATAGCCAAATATGATTTTTAAAAATAAATAAATAAAATGATAGGCTTACCCAATCACCGCTTAGATTTTCTGATGTTGTATCTTTAGCATGATCGGTTCTCTCATTAACATAACCACAAGAGTGTTGTATAAATAATTTTCATACCTGTTTAAACAAATAAAAAAAAAAATTACAATATAACATTATATGAAATAGGTAATAACCTACTTGAGAAATGGAAAATAAGATAATTGAGAAGCAATATTCACTTCTGTGTTCGGTTGTGACAAATTGCAGTTCAATTTTTCTACGCTTGTTACACTATCTTTATCACACCGATTAAGAAATTGAAGCCTTTGGTAGTCGTAACTCCTTTGCAAGTTAGGGCTTGGGCGTGGACTAGGTGGTATGGACATCCATGCATACTCGCTTAGAATTTCAGCACCCTAAAAAGAATAAAAATTAAAATAAAAATCCAATGGTAGTCAAACCGGTATGTTTTAAACATTTGTAACATATTAGAGTGCTACGCACCTTATGCTTCACGTATGATTGAATGAGTTGTTTCAAAGATTTCTTTCGCTTTTTTGTAGTAATTTCAAATGCTGATTTGAGTCTTTTTTTCCCTCTTGATGAGTCCCGTTTTTTTAAACCATTTACAGTAATGTTATGGCCACTTTGCTCGTAAGTGACATGAATTTGATGCCCATTGCTAGCCTTGGATGAGTATTCATCATTACGTTGCACCCGCTTTTGCCTTCTCATTTCTTCAAGAAGCTTAACCAAATGTTCCCCGTGGATAATGGATAAATTAAAAAAATCTTCACCCTCTAATGCAAATGAACTAACGCGAGTGAATAAATAACACATGTCTCTATATCTTTGTCGTTGTTGCAATTTAGGATCCGTTTGCACTTCACGGCCAATGAAATCCAACACTGCCCCATCTCTTGCCTCTCGAGTCCACCGTTTTAATACGTATTCCTTAGGTAATTCAGTTTTGTGTAATATTTCTCTCATGACCTTTAACATGTGTGAATACGGAATACCATCCATTTCAAACATCCAACAACTACATGTTAAAAAGTCATATGTTTTCCTTCTTACACGCCATTCTTGATTATGTTTTTCTAGCGAGACCACTTTATATATAACTTCTCCATCCTGCTGAATTGATTCTTTGAAATAGAATTCAACTGTACCTCGAATTTCTTTTTGAAATAACTGAAATATTTTTTTCGTGTAAATCTCACCAGCTTTGACTACCATCATGCACGGAAGTTTAACATTCAGCTCTTGGTGAGTCAAATCGTACTCCGCCTTTAGCTCAATATACCTTTTCTCAGTGACCATCCTATCAAAATGTTTGAAAAAATCAGGAATATTATGATCAAATTTAGCGAATTTTTTCAATCCGAAATTGAAACTTTCACTAAGTTGAGTGCTATGCATACCAGCACACCAGTGATTTTTCACAAATGCCTTTGCCCATTTGGTCCTTAAATTATATGTTTCAGACAACCATTTGTTGTTACGAACACCACACTCGGTTAGCATGGAGTCCCAACATATTTCAAAATCATCTTCATCCTCATGTTTTTTCATAAACTCAGATAAAATGCCTGTTATACCCACTGGACCCTTGATAACATTACCTAAATGCTTCGTACCATTTTGCATAATATGCCATATACAAAGATGGTGGTGTGTCTCGGGCATCACCAATGCTAATGCCTTTGTAATAGCCGCATCTTGGTCACTTATAATTGTTTTCGAAAATTTATGAGACATTGCCTTATAAAATGTTTCGAACAACCATACAAATGAATCAGATGTCTCATCATACGTTAAAACACCTCCAAATATAACTGTTTCTCTGTGATGATTCAAACCAACAAAAGCGGCAAATGGTCGATTCACATTATTCACCTTGTATGTTGTGTTGAATGACACAATATCTCCAAAATGACCATAGTCAATAATCATCCTTGCATCAGCCCAAAATATATTGGTTATATAGTCATCTTTGTCTAACTGAACCGCATGAAAAAATGAGGGATTTTCCAACATCTGTGATTGAAAATACTCAAATATGAATCCAGCCTTTTCAGATTGTAATTGTTTTTGTCTCTTGGTTCTCAAATAATTTTTTTGGTCTACTTTTGTAAACCCAAGCGCTTCTCTTGCCCCGGATTGCAGTTCCATTAGTTCATATGAAGAACCAACTGGTAGTCCAGAATCATCAGCCAAGTCGACGTCAATTGCTTGAGGTATAGAGACGTTCCGTTGTGAAGGCATCAAATAAGTACAATATTTTCTAATAAGTTTATGGTTGTGCTTCTCTTCAAATCTGTCTATGAAATATATTCCTTCCCCTCTTTCAAATTTTATATGCATGAATGCACCACATTCGACCCTTGTTTCTGCCCTAGCTTCTTTTGTAAGATGGTCCCTTTTGTCATTTACTCTGTAACCCTCCTTGCAACATACAAATTGGGCAGAAGTAATTTCTCCAGTTTTAGTGTATTTATTGGAATAATCTATTCTCACACTAAATCCAACTTCACGTCCGTAAGCATTGTAAAAGTTGTATGCATTTTCAAAGGACTTGAACATCATTCCAATTTTGGGTTTATGGCCTCCTTCACCTAATGGAGTATCCATTTAAAACCACCACCTATAATAAGATAACAAAGTGTCTTAGAGAATTCATCCTCACAAAAAGGTAATAACAATAAAGAGATAAGTAAAAAAGAAAAGAAAAACCCCAAGAACCAAGAGATGGGGGAGGGGAGTTGAGAAGTACTAAAAATATTAATAAAATGACGAGTATTGTTTCCAAAAAAAACTGATTCATGCGAACAAACTTTCTTCCATATAGCTCAAAGTAATATAACAAAATAAAAAATCAGCAAATTTGTTACAAAAATATGATTAGAAAAGGAAATACAACCTTAAAGAATAGGAAAAAAAGAGTCTTTTGCTATAAAGAATTAGAAAGCAACAAATCAACAATTTTATCATTTACACCATCAAATTAAAATCACAAAACAAATCGATAAATAAACAAATAAATCGATTATGCAAAAGATGGTCAATCCCGGTCATCTTCATCCCTTATAGTTTAGAGATTTCCAAAATGATTCGTTGAGGACTAAATGAAAAGAAAAATTGAAATTGTACCTTTAGTACATCAAATAATACAAGGAAATTAAAAGGAAAAAAAAAATTAAAAAAAAAAGCATTTTAACATACTGTGTCAAATAAACAAAGGGAAAGTACAAAAAAAACCTTTGCCATGTACAATCCGTGCACACACACACACACACATATATATATATATATTCGTGAATTTCATTAATACAAATAAACATTAAAGTACAAGGAGAAGTGATCGAACCAGAGATCACAAAAAGCAACACTAGTCCAGGGCTTCAAAACAGGCCTCTGTGGCCAGCTGATGAGGAGAATGAATTGTACCACCATGAAATCTCCTATTTCTTTCATTCCAAACACACGAAATAATAGAAGTAAATATATTTTTTATCAATTTACTTCTCATAGAGACGGTACCTTTTGACATTAGACCTCGAACAAAGTCCATCAAGACCACACGGTACAAGTAATTTCCGAAAAGAATGAGAACATCCTTAATCTCCTTACTTATTGCATCCTTAAAACTCTTGTATCTATCCCATCCTGAACACTGGAAGTTTCAACATGTGTAAAACACCAAAGCTTGTTATTTCGTGATTCATGAAACCTCACTTTTCCAATTGAAGTTCCAAAGTTAATTATTGATTCTATATGATACTCGTCACTGAATCACTGATATTAGAATTATCATTAAAATTTGTACAGCAAAGCAAGCCATCCAAAAACAGTTAAGACAAAGTTGGAAAAATTAATAAACCTCAATATGAAAAATAAATTATAAAATAAAACAGTTAAGTCCCTACCGTGTACCTTATTTAGATTTTGTTAATAAATTATATTGGCCAATTTCCTGGGAAATCGTTGTTTCAAAAAGGCATTTAGGTTAAGTGCTTAACTAATTTTGGATTGCAAACAAGGGCGGAGCCAGGATTGCAAAGTAGGGAGGGCTAAAAATAATTAAACACATCATTACTTAGTGTGTCATCCATGCTCTGAATACATAATTATCATGCATCAGTTATTCAATTAAACTCAATAATCTACAGCCTTCTAACACATTTACATTCCAAACGCTAACGTATTTTCACTGTCAAGAATTCATTAAAGTTTGCTTTATACAAGTATTAAAATAAACAACTACAAGAATGCAAGATATATATGTTTCTTATCAATAAATTCAAATTAGAAAGTAAGACCTATGTGTTCAGCCCCTGACTAGTTATTAATCCATTATATAGTAAATTACTCAATTTAACAAGAAATTATCAAGTCATCAACAATGCCCTTTTATTTTATTTTTTTTACAAAAATAAAATTCAATATTTCACTGTATTAACAATAATAATCCATGATATCCATCCACCTATGCCTTAGCGCCTTACAAACGAAGAGTTTAGGTCTTCTTCCATAAACTAACAATGTGTTTGATTTACGGGGCTGGGCCCTATTATATTTTAATATGTTTTATTTTGTGATTGGGCATGTCTATGGTTCATGGGCTTGCTCATATTTAAGGTTTGACCTTTGTAAATTTTATAACTCTTTTTATTTATAGAAATACTATGGATTAGGCTGGGCTGATAGGAATAGGAAGAGTAATACATGGGCTTATAGGAACAATAGTACTAATTTTCTTTTTTCAATTGGACCTGGGCTATAGCCCAGGTTAGCCCATTACTAGTTCCTCCCTTGATTGCAAACATAAATGCAACCCGTGGAAGCCGAATCAACATTTTGTACTACAACGAAGGAGAAGCCTTCACCACTTGCACCAGAAGTGGAATCTTTCTTTCTGGACTACTTTCCAACTATATTGTAGAACTGTTAGCCACCTACCTTATTGGAATTTATGTAGTTGCACCAGCGACAAATATCAATATAGTTTGTGTGCAGTAGTTAGTATGGAAATCGATGGAGAAGAAGATTCCATCTCACTCGCATATATTCTGAGATACTGTGCAGAAATCAGTGTGATTTTTAAAGAGAGAGATTTAGGGTTTATGAAGAGGAAAGAGAGAGAGAAATGGTGAGCACCTGAAAATATAGCCGTGAGACAGCGACGAGGTGACGCCTGAACAATCCAGTACAACTATACTATTTTGAGGTACACTGTGACGAAAGAGGGAGATGGCGTACGATGACGAGGGAGGAACGTGCTGAAGTAGAAGACGATACTTTGTTTTCCTTTTTTTGTTTTGTTTTGTTTTTGTTCTTTTTTTTTTGGTAGGGAGAAGCAGAAGAGGATGATTTTTTTTTTTTTTTTTTTTTTTTTTTTTTTTTTTTTTTTTTTTTTTTAACGTCGTTCCTTTTTCCGTTGGACTTTGAAGTTACCAATTTAAAACAATTTCTTTTTTTCACTATAGCACGAGTACAGCACGACCCGTTTACAGCAAAGGATCCCAGTCCTACATGAAAATATCCTCTCTAAGTTTTTTCTATTTGTAAAAAAAAAAAAAAAAAATTATAAATAAAATCCTTGTGCTCTTAAGGAGTGGAATCCTTTTAGCCATAGGTGGTTTCGTATAATTTGAAATGTGTATGTGGTTGCTAAAAATAGGGGATAAAATAATTTGGTAGTTCAAATTAGTTAATCTTCAGACATACTTCCACTTCCTTCTCACAAGGACTCGCTCAATAACTATGTTCTGACCATAGAGATGAAACCAACATGTCCACGTAACCATACCAAACAAGACACCATATTTTAATCTCACAAACACATGCATGGCTTCTCTCTCCCTCTCTCACTCTATTGTCCCAAACAAATTAAACAAAAACCTAAGCAACCAAAACCAGGAATTTCTTTTCTTTGCATGCAAAGTTTACTTAATTAGGGTTTCTCACATCCATGCAGAAAGGGCCAAGGCCGGACTAACGGATCTCCGGCCAACCAAAAAATCTTAGGGTTTTTAGCTCCGGCAATGACGACAGGCTCCCCCCAGCCCTCGCCGTCGGGAAACTACTCCTCCCCACCTGTGACCATAATCCTCACTGTCATTCTCCTTATTTTCTTCTTTGTGGGTTTCTTCTCTATATACTTCTGCAGGTGTTTCTTGGAACATTTAATCTACAATTGGTATCTCCGGCATACCCCTTCTGGCACTCCGGTCGGCCACTTAAGTTCCGGTGGCCGCCACGGCCTTGATCCATCCATCATCCAGACTTTCCCAACGTTCACGTATTCGAGTGTCAAAGATCTTAGAAAGGAAAAGTATGGCCTAGAATGTGCCATTTGCTTAGTAGAGTTTGCAGATGATAGTGTCCTTCGCCTTTTGACAACATGTTGCCATGTGTTTCATCAAGAGTGCATTGATCTCTGGCTTGAATCCCACAAATCTTGTCCGGTTTGTCGGAGGAGCCTCGACACACCCTCGAAATCTCCGGAAATGTCTCAGACAACGCCTGTACTTAACGCCATGCATGACATTAATGAAAACGAATCAATAGAAGATACTTTTAGCATTAACATTAGGGACGACGATGAAGAAGAGAAAGATGGGACCGGTGAGGGACACGAAGCCGGTACTGCAGCCACGGACGAACGGATGGAAGAACACGGTGTGGTAGAAAGATTTTCGAGGTCACACTCGACCGGGCATTCGATAGTTAGGCCTAGAAAAGATGAAGATAGGTTTACATTAATATTACCAGAACATCTGCAAGCAAAACTTTTAAGGGGACATCACTGGACTAAGAGTTGCACCACCTTTGGGGAGTTCAAGAGCAAAACTTCCACCGGTGGCTTTGGCGAGGTGTCAGGGTTTTCCGGGGGAGACATCAATAGAGTATAAGCCATTTAGGGTTTTCATTGTTATAATTTATTTTGTCTTTCACTCCGGTTGCTAGCTAACATCATTGATCGCAATCATGATCGTCGGAATAGGATGTCATGCACCGCTTACACGACACATATATAAAGTTATTGCGTAAGCAATCGAAGGTAGTTCGTTGCATGAGCAATTTGAAGAGATCAAGTAGTTAAAGATTTTCAAGCGAGGAGCATTATTGGATATATATATATATATATATATATATATATATATATATATATATCCATATAGTTTGTATAGTCAACGTATCATTTTATATGATTAATTAGCTTGTTGTACGCAACCTTTAGAATGTGGAACAAGAAAGTAGAATGTTTTAGTGAAATTGGTCTTATGAAAAAAAAAAAAATGATCAGGGAAGCCATGGAAAATATAATATGAATGGACAAAATGTTACACAAGTCGATTAGGCTTTATATATACATTGAGTACTCTCTTGCTCACCGTATATTGTTGGATGGGGTATTACATTACCAGTAACCAGAGTACTTGATAGTTTCTTCTCCCTTGCAAGGTTGTCGTGAGGCCTAATACTTGAGTACGTGACAAAGTAGATACATTGCATGGTTCCAGTATTCTCATGTGACAGAGTAGATACAAACAGATTCAGTTTGTATATCATTTTCCATTGTAGATTGCTCAAATGGATTATAAATGATTCTTGTAAGGAATTAATGATACTCTTCATGACTAGATTGATTCGATTGAAAGGAATTTTATTTATTTATTTATTTATTTTTTATTATTAGATTAGTTTTCCATCAATTTTTAGATGATTTTAAAAAATCTGAACATTTTAAAAAGACGAGTTTAAATTAACATTGAAAAAATTAACTAGAATTCAAGTCCATTAATGGAGGGCTCCACTTTATGAAATCAAATGAAGTTTTTATTTATTTATTTTTTTTATATTTTATTTTTTGATAAGAATCAAATGAAGCTTGGCATGCATGACCAGAAATGATATTCATCATGAAATTCCTTTCATAATACGAATCGCAATAAATTTTAGTGGTTCTATTTAACTTCATTTGATCATATCAACCATATGGATTGAAGATTAATGGTTCTATATGACTTCAATTAATTCGAGCATCGAAATAATAATGATGACTAGCAAAAAGTTGTTTACCGCGTTAGCCATGGACAGCAGAGAATCCAGATTTCTGACATGTATCCAGAGAAAAAAATAAAAATTGGTTTATATTGAGTCTCGGTCTTTAGTAGTTCAAACACAAGAGTTTTTACCGTTGAATGTGCCTTTACCATTGAATCCTTTGAGCACATCATTTATAACAGGTATGTGAATGAGGACAAATTACACTTATATGTTTTGGGTTAGTTGTGAGAGTATTGAGCTTTTCAAAATCAAAGCAGGTCAATTTTTAGGTCTCAGCAAAAACACAACCGGATGAGTTTACAAACAGAACCAATTGCACTTTTCTCAAGTATTAAAACAGCTCACAGGAAAAATACAACTGATGCCATTTCAAAACAAAACTGGTTGCGTTATCTATTATCAGAATTGCTCTGAGTAAAAACAAGGACGGCAACTTGGGCTGGTTGGGTTTCAAGTATAACTTGAGCTAGCCCAATTCGGCATATGACATGCTAAACCTAAGCCCAACTATAACCTTATCTTCAACCTTAACTATTCAACCCAAGCCTAACCCATCCTTCTACTTTTAAAAGCTTAGATTCTAAGTTAAAACTTCGAGTTAATTCGGTTACTCATATGGCTAATCTTCACACTAAAAATTTAATATGATCTCGAATTAGTTTTAAATTAAATTACTCCTAAATAAGAAAAAAATTAAAGACTTTTCGTAGATTTTGAATAAATTACAAATAAATTCTTAGAAAATTAATTTTCCTAAATATTAACATACACCATGTTAAGATTTAACAAAGGAAATTAAAAAGAAAAAAGATAATCATTTAAATATTATATATAATGTATTTAAAAGTAAAAATATATATAAAAATAATATTAGAATTCGGGTTCGGGTTGCAATCCAAGTTCAATCCTAATTAAATTCGGATTGAAAATTTTCTACCCAAGCCTAACCATAATTATAAAAATAATTGTCCAAACCTGTGAAAAATCAGGCTGGAGTTGGGTTGCCCAACCCGAGTTGCACCCCTAGCAAAAATAAAGCCAATGGTGTTTTAAATAGAACCCGTTGTGTTTTCCTTAATGTGCGAAATTCAGATTTTGATGACTTTTAAGTTTCCTATTTTTACCCAAACACTTAGGTTTTTGTAACCTCTTTTTAGCTATTGCTTCAATTGGAAAATCAAAGTTTTCATGTTTCAAATGAATATTATAACTTTTTAGGAGATTTTTCAGAGTTCTCTAATTGAATATTTTTAGAGTAGACCTCAGCAAAAACACAACCAGTTGCGTTTACAAACGGAAACCGATTGTACTTTTCTCAGGTATTTAAACAGCTCGCAGTAAAAATACAACCGGTGGCATTTCAAAACAAAACCGGTTGCATTATCAGTTATCAGAATTGCTCTCACTTAAAACACAACCGGTGGTATTTTAAACAAAACCAGATGCGCTTTCCTTAATGTGCGAAATTCAAATTTTGGTAACTTTTAAGTTTCCTATTTTTACCCAAACACTTAGGGAAGTCCTTGTCTACCTCAGATTAAACATCAGATTTTCTACAAACCATCACAAAATTTAGAGTTGAAGGAATATGGGTTTTTTATCACACTACGAAGGGATCAAGACATTCGTGGAGTGTTATTGATCTACCAGCTATCCTTGTAAAGGGATCAAGAAAGTAATCCTGAAGTCAAGTACTATTGGACGGGAGAGTTGTAAAGCCGAAGAAGTTCAACAATTGGTTCTTGAATTGGTAGAGTTAAAGAGTATGAGGCACTCAGTTAGAGTCCATTGTATTTCACTTTGACATTAGTAGTGGATCATTTTGCCTGAGACGCCAGAGTGTTCGAAGTTTTTTCAGATGATTGGTTAATTTCCACCAATTAGGGTTTCCTCGCTAAAAATCTAGTGTCATATTTCAAACTTTACTTTATTTATTTTACTATACAATTTATTTTTGTGATTATGGATGTTTAATTGATCATCATTGTGAGTAAATTAATCAATTATAAAAATTGGGCAAGTTGACACATTCACCTCCCTCTAGGTTATTAGAGTATTGTTTCACAACTTATATCTCAAAGTCGGGATGGGTTTGAACTTCCCACTATACATGAAAAAAAAAAAAAAAAAAAAAAAAAAAAAAAAAAAAAAATCTTCAACATATTTTAGAGAATTTTTGTCTAAAAATCTTAAGAAATTCATAATATCAAAGTTTCGAGGCTGTGTTATAAAGATGAAATTAAAGTAGAAGCTCTAACTAAGAATATAATATTTTTAATATATTTATTATTAATCTGAATGCTTTGGAGTGGGTAAGTTTTATTTTTTATTTTTGAAATCCACACCTAACTCAATAAGAATGATTTCAATTTCATCCCAACAATGGCGAAACCTCACTGGATGGACATGCAGAGTAAATTGACATTTCTAACTGCAATCAAAGTGAATAAATGATGCTTTCATTTGGAGACCTTCAATTACAAAGGATTTTTTCAACTTGTTTTATCATTAACATGTTTCTATTACATGTCCACGGTTTAATTAAGAATTAATCAATTGCGGTAAACAAATGCATACTTTTTTTAAGGTGTAAATTACATTTTTTTGGGTAAATTGTGTAAATTACACGTATCCTCTACCTAATTTGAGTTTGTTATGTAAACGAACTGTGGAAGCATCAATAAACTCAGTAAAAAGCTAGAAAATGAAGAAATCCAACCTCTGACAATAATCCAATCTTTGTGTTGATTTTGATCGGTGTTAGATTTGGGAGAGAAAATTGTGAGTTACGCAGTGCGAAGCTGTTAGTTGATTTTATTGTGATTAACTCTTTTAATGACCTAGATGGGATTAATAGGTCAACTTGCCCAATTTTGGAATTGATTAAATTACCTAAGCAATATTATCAATTAAATATCCACAATCACAAAGATAAATATTGAAAAGTAAAGCAAATAGAGTTAGCAAGATGACACCACGATTTTTAGCGATGATACTCCAATTGGTAGAATAGACCAATTGTTGTGGAAAAAAAACCTCGTGGACTGTGCAATCCAAAGTAAACCGATCCACTATGTTTGAAACAAAATAAAATGGACTTTCGCTCAGCCTCACACCCTATCGTTCTACCAAACACCAATTGCTGACAATCTTCTGGCTTTGCGACGTCCTGTCCAACAATTATTGACTTCAGGCTTACTCTTGATCTCTATAGAAGGATTGCTAGTATATCAAATAACAGTACTCCTCGAATGCTTTGACTCTTTCAAAGTGTGATCGCTTCACCCCTTTTCTTCAAGATCTGAACTTTAATGTAGAATAAATAAATCCGCTCTTTCAAAATTTCTGAATCTTCATTTAAGTTCCAATTCCGATGAGATAGAGAACAACACTACTAAATCACTCATAAATATATGTGTGTGCTCTCAAAAATAAAATCAGATTTGATTTTCTGAAAAATATCTCTCTAAAGGCTTTCTCAAAATAATGAAGTAATATTCCTCAAAACCATAGCTCAATGTTGAATGAAAAAGACATTATATAGAACTAGTTTGGAAAACCTGAGAATACTTGTAAAACAAGTGAAATTCGTGCATAGGTTTTTAGAAGGAAGTCTGAACCAAAAAAGAATCAAAACAGATCACGAAACTAAAGTTACCATTTATGATCAGAAGCCTTGAACCGGTACTAAGTTTGTGGCTACTGGTTCAGGAATGGCAGGGAAGAATCCGACGTACTTCGGCTACCGGTAGAGGTATTGGCTACCAATTCTGGAAGGGCAGTGAATTAAGAATCCCTTTTTGAACAATAGTTGGCTATCGGTTCCCAATGTCGCTACCAGCTCTCAATGCACAAAATTGAAACCTGATATTCTCTTAAACCTTCTTAATCTTCCTAAGTGTTCTCACATACTCATATATTTTTCTGAACCGAAAAATTACAAACCGATTGGACTTGTTTTGACAACAAAATTAGAAAATTACTAAATATATATTTTTACAATCTCTCCAAAATATATATATATCTCACAAAAATCTCATCTCTTTGCTTTGGTCTTCCACCCTCTGTGCTTTTTATCCACGTCCCTTAATGAGGCAAGACTAATTGGTATGGAGCGTATTATATGAGGGTGGGGACCAAGACGCTACATATATAAGATAGAGTATTTGATAAGACTCATTCCATCAACGATTTTCTTATCATCATAGGTTATTATTTAGTCTCAATCACCATTCAAGATTTTCTGTAAGTTGTAAGACAAAGTAATATTTAGTGGAAGCCCAAAATACTTACGTCTCCTTTTTTTTAAGCATATTATAGTTAGAGGATCTTTAACCATTATGTATTTTTTTTTTTTTTTTTTTTTTGTGTAAATCTAATGTGTCATAATAGATTTACACAAAAAAAAAAAAAAATGAATTATTTATTTTTAGCTCCAGCAGTTGTTTTATACTTTTTGTATAAAAATATCCTACAATAACAACCAACTAGTATCATGCATGGACCCCACATAAGTTTTACAAACCTACTTAATATATGATTGATTCGTTAATGGAATGAGAAAGAGGGAGGAGAACGGAAATATGCTGATGTGGATGTGTAAAAAGGTTGTGTAAAATATACACACAATAATTTTACACATTGTTAACGTGGCAGTGTATCTTAATTGAGTGTTGGAGAAAAAAAAAAAATTACACATGCACAAAAAGTGTTTTAACAGACGATTGGAGATGTCCTTAGACCCTCTAATTTGCATGTCTGTAACAAATACTCCCCTATCGTAAGTAACACTAAAAGTCAGTGGCGGACGTTAATGCAAGCGTAGCCAAACTTAAAGAATTATATGATGAAAATACCCTTAAAATAATGTTTATATAATAATGACTTAAGAATAATTTCACATAACAATATTTAAAGTCCAACACTCAAAATAAGGTAACTATAATATGACAAAAAAACTCTATAACAAATTCAAGGGAGGTAAGTATAATTTATCCCTTTTTTTTCCCATCAAAAACACATTTTTATCTTGCTAATGAATATATGCTATTTTTTTTTTTTAACACCAACAAGAGAAAACTATCATTGAGTAAAAGAAGATTTACAATTAAGAGCTAAGGCATCAAGAAGCAACGGAGGCTAGACACCCCACTCCAGATCACCACACTCAGCCACCAAGGCCTTTCTGCTCACTAAATGAGCTACACAGTTACCATCCCTAGGAACCCAAGCTAAAGAAGACCCCTTACATACAGAAAGAAGATGAGAGACATCTTGAAAAACCACATATAAAGCCTCAATTGAAGGCTTAAGCAACATCACTTGTTGGCAATCCCCTTCAACAATCACATTTTGATAGCCCCATAGTTGGAGCAAAGAAAGACATTCACGTAGCACAAGACCCTCGGCCAAAGAGGGACCACCAACATTAGAGAGGAAAACAGAGGCCACCTTCAAAGGTTGTCCTAGATGATTGCACAGAATCATCCCACCACAGCAAAACTGTCTGCATAATTAAAAGCTGCATCAAAATTGAGTTTAAGAAATCCCACCGGTGGCAAAGGAGGATGAACCAGTAAGGGAGAGGGAGAAAGGAAAGACATGGATTGAGTTTGTCGGAGAATCTCCTGATATTCAAAGAAATCTATAAGAGCTTTTTGTGATGCCTCAAAAGGATCACATCGGCGGTGATTAAAGAGAAGATCATTACTGCATTTTCAAAGAGTCCAACAAATAAACGTTGCAAGACTATGACACTGTGTATAACATGTAGATTGCTTCCACTTCTCATAAATCTCCACCCACTGCTTAGGCCAGACTGTTATACCACAACCCCTAAAATCCATTCTCAACAGACTTAATTAACCTCCAAACCATACAATCAAAAGGACATGTACAGAGAACGTGATCGACCGTTTCAGCTGGAGCATCGTAGAAAAAGTAAGAAGGCACCTTAGAGGCATTACACAAAGACATCAAAAAATTAATTGGAATGCGCTCATGAAGGCTTTGCTAAAGAAAAAAATATAATTTTTTGGTGAACCTGAATTTTCCAAATAGCACGCCACATAGTAGATTTTGCAGTATCAAAACTACATCCAATAGAAGGAGATAGTGCAGTCTCGCTTTTTAAAGTTGACATAGCAATATGATAAGCACTTGTGACCGAAAAAGACCCATCCTTTGTAGCACCCCACACCTTACAATCCATGCCTCCTCGGAAAGTGATGGGTATTTGAAAAATAAGAGCACAATCTCTCAGAGTGAAATGATGATGAATCAATTAAAGTCGAATTCCAGCAATGTGACGAGGGAATCATAAGATCAGTCACTAAAGAGAAGGTGCCCCTGAATGGTTTGATGTGGCAGTAGGATGAGAAACATCGAGAAGCCAGTTATCTATCCAACAATTGACTTTCGATCCGTCACCAATCCGCCATCTCAGTCCCTTCTTAATGACAGCTTGGGCAGATAAGATACTCCGCCAAACCCAAGAGGAGTGAGATTTGGGTGAAGCATTAATAAAATTACATGATTTAAAATATTTTTGCTTAAAAGATCGATAAAGTAGAGAATCATCTCCTTGTTCCATACGCCTTGCCATTTTAGCAAGAAGAGTAAGATTGAAGGCTTCAACGTTTTTGAACCCCAAACCACCATCAACCTTGGAAGAACAAAAACTATCCCAACTAACCCATTTAATCTTGGTAGATTTCTCTTCGCCAGTCCACCAAAAATTAAGAAACTTACTAGTCAAATCAGCACAATTCTTCTTGGGAAGTCGTAAGCATTGCATAGCATAAGTAAGAAGAGACGAGAGAACCGCTTTCAACATAACCTCCTTCCCTGCCTTAGATAACAACTTTCCTTTGAGAGATTTTGTTCGAGATGAGATTCTGTCAGATAGGAAACCCGTTGTTACCACTTTGGACCTTCCCAAAAAACAAGGGAGTCCAAGATAAATATTCGGCCAATCCACATTATATATTTTCAAAATTGTAGTACACGATCCTTTTTTATCCGAAGCCGTATTTGGGGAGAAGAATAAACAAGATTTATTCAAATTCACCGATTGGCCCGTTAAAGCCAAAAATCTATCCAGAATGGATTTAATACAACGCACCTCTAGGTCTCTCTGGCTTTACAAAAAAGAAGAGCATCGTCGGCAAACATTAAGTGGGAGATCAATGGACAGCCCCTACCCATCTTCATACCCATAACTTTTTTCCTTCTGCCAAACTCCTGGAATAAAAGTGACAGCCCTTCATTGCACATCAAAAAAAGGTAAGGAGAAATAGGGTCACCTTGACGAAGACCTCGAAATGGAGTAAAATAATCCCCCCTTTCACCATTAATTAGTCAGCACTGAGTAGGAGACTGAACTAATACACTCCAAAATCAAATTAACCCATCACTGGTGAAAACCCAACCACTTCATAAATTGACAAAGGAAGGACCAGCTGACTTGATCATAAATCTTGGCCATGTCCAACTTGAAAGCCATAAAACCCAAATCACCAGACTTTTTAGATTGAAGAAAGATCATAAGCAAGCACAATATCATCATGAATTAAACGATGGGGGACAAAAGCACTCTGGGCTTCATTGATCAAAAGAGGAAGAAGGGGTTTGAGTCTGTTGACCAAAATTTTGGAAACCAATTTGTGGGCCACATTACACAAAGTGATTGGCCTGAAATGCGTCATCACTGTAGGATGTTTAATTTTTGAAATAAGAACAAGATGAGTAGAATTCAAACTCTATGGAAGAAATTATTGCTGCTATTTCTTCCTTTTGTAAAGGATGAATTTTATTACCAAAAATTAAGATATACAGATACACAAAATCCCAAACATGCATGTCTGTTGAAAAGATAATTATTTGTTGACTTAATGTCGAACAGTTGAAAGAGAAACCAGACCACTCACTGGTGGCACGCACTCCCTCTCTCTTTAACAATAGGCAAGTGTTATCATGACTCTTACCAAGTACAGGCCTATTATTATTACTAACAGTATTAAATTAGGGTTTCTTCTCAAGGGTTTTTCATTTTTTTTTTTTTTTTCTCGGTCAGGTGACTCACACTTCTACTAATAATTGGATTCGAATTCCTCTCTTCTTCTTTGCCGATAGGCTATACGAATGGACTATATACATTTTTGAAGTTGTGAAGCAGATACGAACCCATTAACTTGAAAAGCTTAATGTAAATGCAGCTAGGTACGTATCTGGACTCTAGAGGCGTCAATGACACATTTGTCCTTTGGTACTTTTTCTATGATGACAGACACCAGTTTCTACGCTCCTGTCAGCTGATTTCTTTGCTTTACAACCTATTTCCTTTTCAAAAAGACAAAACTAAAGTGATTAGACATTTGCACCAAAAGATCCAAACACACCTTTGAAAATAATTGTTCATTGCTTTACTAGCTTTCATGGATCCAAGGTAAGGCACAAAAAGTAGTAGGTTGGACAACAAAAGACTCTTATCATGTCCATTTTTCTACATCCAACCCTAGTAGCACTCTAGCCTATGATACCCTTTTTCATGTTCATTATATCACCCAAACAAAATTAATCCCAACCTCAAGATCTACATTGAATCCCATCTTCAACATGGCCTTAAGCAACAATGTCATCGGTGCCATCAACTTCGTGGCCATGCTCCTCTCCATTCCGATCATCGGAGCCGGAATCTGGCTAGCGACCGAACCCGACAACTCATGTGTCAAGATCTTACAATGGCCTGTCATCATTTTGGGCATCTTGATCTTGGTTGTGGCTCTTGCAGGCTTTGTAGGAGGGTTTTGGAGGATCCCTTGGCTCCTAGTGGTCTACCTCATAGCCATGTTGATTCTCATAATATTACTTGCGTGTTTGGTGGTTTTTGTCTATATGGTCACAGTAAAAGGCTCTGGTCACCTTGAACCTAGCCGGTCTTACTTGGAATATCATCTTGATGACTACTCGGGGTGGCTCCGGCGAAGGGTTCATAGTTCTTATAAGTGGGATCGGATTAGAAACTGTCTTAGCTCAACAAGTATGTGTGCTGAGTTGAATCAGAGTTACCGCATGGCTCAAGATTTTTTCAATGCACACATTAGTCCCTTGCAGGTAATCTCATTTCCTTTTTCTCTTTCTTATATATCTTTCATATAGTTTCCATAATTTAAACACTTAACTACTACTTGTTTTCTGTGCAATTAGATTGGAAATGGCTTGTAAACAATAGTAATTGATTGAGAATAGTTAGTGGGATAATATGATACGATTGCTTTTTATAAATAGGAGTGGAAAAATATGAAAAAGAAAAAGAAAAAAAGGTGTGGAACATTTTTTTTTTTTTTTTTTTTTTTTTCATCTTCCAAATTGATATTTGTAATTAATGCCTTCTGAAAAGTAGGTAATAAGTACTTCCTCTCAAATGTTATTTCAAATTAACATTAATTGAACATCAAATAGCTCAAGAAATTTTAATGTATATAGAAGAGCTTTTATTTTTTTTCCTTCGGAAGAATTTCACAAATCATTTGTTCCTACTCAAACCTTCACCTTCTACTTTGAAAAGCGGATGAGATATCCATGATAGTGAAAAGTGCGTAATAGAAGTTAAATTTGGAATGCATTTTTTTTTTTTCTTCTTTAGTTTACTCCCAAACACATCATATTTCTTGTCCTTCAGTTATTCTTAGGGTGATGTCCATGACAAAGTAGGTTTTCTAAGCATATATATATATATATATAAAAAGAAAAAGAATAAACAATTAATCAAAGTAGCACATTGGAATAATCTTGAACCATGTCTCAATCTTCTTTTCTAAAGCATCATATTCCTTATCTTTATCTTTCCTTTATTTTCTTATCTTCCTTTTCTTTTTCCTTTTTTTGCAGTCTGGATGCTGCAAGCCACCGACGCAATGCGGATACACGTTCGTGAACCCTACCTACTGGATTAGTCCAATAAACACCGCAGCAGACATGGATTGCCTGCAATGGAGCAACGAGCAGACGCAGCTGTGTTACGCCTGCGACTCGTGCAAAGCAGGATTGCTAGCTAATCTGAAGAGAGAATGGAGAAGAGCAGACATCATATTGCTCATAACCCTTGTTGCATTGCTATGGGTATATTTGATGGGGTGTTGTGCCTTCAGGAATGCCAAAACTGAAGACCTGTTTCGCAAATACAAGCAAGGTACTTATGAGTGAGTGACCTAGTGATGATACAGAAGAACTAGTAGCAATTACTAGGGTGGGTTGGTGTGAATTAATGGGTATTTTCTCTTATGTCTTTTGTGACTTTGTAAACGATGATTAATAGAATATGTTTTTGGTGTTTTGATTTGGTTTAACTCAAAAGGCATTGGGTTTGATTATTTTGATTAGTGTTTGGGGAAATGAATAAAGGGGAAGGGGTGAACGTGATTTGCGGAGGGGCACCGAAAGTAACATTTGTTTCAAGATTTGCATAGTAGTTCTTAAGGAATCACGTGATATGTGGGGGAAAAGGGAAGGAAATGGAGTGGGCCTCTTTAACCAATTTATTTTTTTAACTTAAATTTGGGACATTGATTTGATGGTTCAGAATCACTCCGCGTTATCAGATAACATTTGTCTTATTGTTAAAAAAAAAAAAATATAGTAGTATTGTATTTAATAAAAATCAAGTGATAGTGAATATGTTGAACCAATGGATTGAGCATTACAGAGCATAGAAGAGAATAAACAATATATGTAGAGGATCATTGTCCAATAAAGGAAGGAAATGGAGTGCGGCCTCTTTAACTTTTTATTTTTTTATTTTTTTATTTTTTTTAAACTTAAAAATGGGACATTGATTTGATGGTTCAGAAACACTCCGTGTTATCAGATAACATTTGTCTTATTTAAAAACAAAAAAATTAAAGCAGTAGTATTATTTAATAAAAATCAAGTGATATTGAATATGTTGAACCATTATATGGATTGAGCATTGCAAAACATAGAATAGAGTAAACAATATATATGTAGAGGATCATTGTCCAATAAAGGAAGGAGATTGGAGAAGAAGAAATAAGTGATTGACTATTGTACTACACGACAATGGCCTAGATTTTATACGGTAATCTTTCCCAAATGGAAGTTTGAGAGTTCGTTAGGTGAATGTGTACATCTATCGACTTAAAACTTTAGATCAAATTAAATATTATGCCTATTTTTTTCTTTCTAGCATGTTCCCCCATTTTTAGTGTCATTTTTTATTTTTTAAATGAGCCAAAATTAGTGGGTTTTCAAGTCAATATTAATAATTGAAACTGTGTCAAATTATTCTTAATTTTTGATGACTTTCGTAAATTAACAATATAGCTGTAATTTAATTTTTAAATTCACCGCAAGAAACAAATATTTATTAAGAAAATAAAAATAAAAAATTAGGATATATGCATGGAAATGATGCTCAATTGTAATGTGTGATGACATGACTGTGAAAAAGTTAAGTTAAGTTAAACTCGGGGTGTGAAAGTTGTTAGTTGATTTTAATTGTGATTAATTCCTTTAATAACGTGGATGAGATTAATTCGTCAACTTATCCAATTTTTATGATTAATTAAATTACCTAAACAATATGATCAATTAAACATTCAAAATCACAAAGGTAAATATTAAAAATTAAACCAAGTAGAGTTAGAGAGATTTTTAACGAGGAAACCCCAATTGGTAAAATAAACCAATTGTTTGCGTGGGAAAAACCTCGTGTACTGTGCAGTCCAAAATAAACCGATCCACTATATTTAAAACAAAGTACAATAGACTTTGACTCAGGCTCACATCCTATCGTTCTACCAATCATCAATCGATGACAATCTTCAGGCTTTGCGATGTCTCGTCCAACAACTCTTGACCTCAGGCTTATTCTTGATCTCTGTAGAAGGATTACTTTTAGATCAATCAACACTCCTCGAATGTTTTGACCCTTTCAGAGCATGATCGTTTTTACTCATTTTTCTTCAAGATCTGAAATTTGATGTAAAAGAATAGATCCTGCTCTTTCAGAAACTCTGAATCTTCAATTATGCTCCAATTCCGATGAGATAGAAAACAACACTACTAAATCACTTATGAATATATGTGTATGCTCTCAAAAATAAAATCAGAATAATCAGATTTGATTTTCTGAAGTTTGTCTCACTAAATGATTTCTCAAAATATTGAATTGATGTTCCTCAAAGCCATACCTCAATAATGAATAAATGAAGCATTAAATAGAAGTTTGGAAGACCTAAGCATACTTGTAAAACAAGTAGAATTCGTGCATAGGTATATAGAAGGAAGTCTAGACCAAAAAGGAATCAAAACAGATAAGGAAACTTGATTTTCTAAACTGATCAGAAGACCTTGAACCGGTTCATAATTTGTTGATCCGGTTCAGGATTTGTTAAACCAGTTCAAGCTAGCCAGAGAAAATTCGAAGAATCCCTTTTGATTTTTGAACCGGTTCAAGATGGCCAGTCTTGAATATTCATGAATCCTCAGATGTTGAACCTGTTCCCTTAATTCTCAAACCTATTCCCTCAGGTGTTTGAATATGTTCCCTTAATTCTTGAACCAGTTCAACTTAGACAAAATTAATTTCTCCCTTAAAAACTTCCAAAAACTTCCTAAGTGTTCTCACTAACTCACAAAACTTCCTAAAGCATTGTTCTCATCATCCTGGAGTGTAGTAAACCATGAACACTTGCACTTGTTCAAATCTACATCCGATCTTTAATCTTGAAAATTTGAACTGAAAAATTACAACTTGATCGGACTTGTTTTAACAACGAATTAGCCAATTACAAAATATATATCTCACAATCTCCCCCTTTGACAATTTCGTGACAAAACCCTAAAAACAAATGTGTAATCTACCCAAGCTGTACCTAAGCAGAAAAAAAAAAAAGATTACAATTTGTCAAAGGAATAAATTGCGAAATTTTTCTTGAACTTCATGAAGCTTCAACACATGTAGCAACCTACAATCTGCCCATTAGCTCAAACACAACTACCTGTGAAACTTAACCAAGAAAATAAATACAAGCATAAAATAGAAATGCTAATAATGCCTAAAACTCAATGCAATGTAATGCAATGATCAAAGTGTTCTCCCCCTCAATGAAAAAATGTCTCTCCCCCTGAATGATATCAATCTTAACTCTCTCCCTCTTTTTGTCACAAATTAATAAGGGTCTAAAGAAAGAAATATCCTAGAAGTAGGAAGCAACCAACCATATAGAACTTGTAAATTGAATTCGATGAAAATATAAACTCCACAAAACTATACATATCAAAGAAAAAAATAAAGATCAATTCAATGAAGTCCCACAAATTTAGTAAGTGTAGTAAAATCACCACCAAGTTCCAAAAGCATATGATTTGTCAACTGTTTAGATTTCAGACAATAAATCAATGATATCACATATCCTTAAAAATCAAACACTCAACATATGCAAAAGACCTTTCTCTCTCTCTCTCTCTCTCTCTCTTTGTGCTCCATTTTTCTTTTTGCACATTGGTGGCTTTCACGCTTATGAGCAGGCAGCTCTTTCCCTTATTCTCATTTGTTTCGAGTCACGGTAGCTTAACAATTCCTAAAGGTAGCCTTTTCTACCTCTCATTTTTTTTCAACAACAATTATTTTCATTTTTTTTTTCAAAAATTTTCATTCCAAGATGTTTTTCAATTTTTTTTAATTATTATTTTTATATCTCTTTTGGTCCAAAACACATAAATCAAGTTTAAATTTCATGACAATGATTAATCATGTCAATATCATATTTGACCAAAACAATGACATCAAAAATAAGTAAATGTACTATTAATGATTCATTTACTATATGAAACAAGTAATCAAAACTAATTTAATCAATTCATAGCCATGATATGTTTTCACATATAATCCATGTGTCATTAAACCTCCTTGTTTTCAACATACTTAATCCATATGGTTTGCTCAACTTCCCAAAAACATAATCTAGACACTCAAAATATGTAGAAGATCATTTCTAGATTATGTCTTTGCAATGCATCTAATCAAGACAATAAATGCCTATAAATTTCCTAAGATGAGTAAACTTAGGAGCATCTAGTGGTTTAGTGAGAATGTCAGCCAAATTCTTATCAGTATGCACTTTTTCTAAAGACACGATAATTTTTTAAACAAGTTCCCTAAGAAAGTGATGTCAAATGTCAATATGCTTAGTCCTAGAGTGCAAAACTTGATTCTTAATTTAAAATATTAATTGTACTAGTATTATCATAAAATGTAGCAATAGTACCTTGATCAACTTCATAATCTAAAAGCATCTGTTTCATCCAAACTAATTGTGTGCAATAACTTCCAGTAACAATGTATTCAGCCTCACAAGATGATAAAGATATGTATTTTTGCTTCTTGCTGTACCATGAGACAAGATTAGTACTAACATAGAAACAACCACCTGAAGTACTCTTTCTATCATCCTTGTTACCAGCCCAATCAGCATTAGTATAGCATGCAATCTTAAAGTTAGATTCAGAAGAATAACGCAATTTATAATTTAATGTACTATTGACATAACGAATAATGCATTTGACTGCAAGAACGTGTCGTTCTCTAGGATCAGCTTGATATCTAGTACAAACACCTACACTAAATGAAATATTTAGCCTACTAGCTGCCATATATAACAAGTTACCAATCATACTCCTATACAAGGAAGGATCAACCTTGTTAGGATCAGAGTCTCTATCCAATTTGGATGAAGTACTAAAAAGAGTTTGCACATGCTTTGAATCTTTTAAACCAAATTTCTTGACTAACTCCTTTACAAATTTTAATTGAGATATGAAATTTCCTTCATCAAGTTGTTTCACTTGGAGACCTAGAAAGAAAGTCAGTTCACTAACCATGCTCATTTCAAAAGTATTACTCATATTTATAGCAAAATCATGAATAAGGTTATCACAAGTAGCACTAGAAACAATATCATCCATATAGATTTGAGTAACAATAAAATCTTTTCCTTTCCTGAAAATAAAGAATGTATTATCCACTTCCCCTCTTCGAAAGTCTTTGCACATTAGATAAGAAGTTAACTTCTCATACCATGCTCTAGGTACTTACTTTAAACCATAAAAAACTTTTTTAAGATGAAAAACATAATTAGGATTATGTGGATCAATAAAACCTTTTAGTTGTGCTATATAAACTTCTTTCTGTAAAATACTATTGAGAAAAACACTTTTTACATCCATTTGAAATAATTTAAATTTAAAGTGACATGCAAGAGTGAAAAAAAAAATTGAATAGACTCAAGTCTAGTAGCAGGTGCAAAAGTCTCATCAAAATCAATTCATTTAACTTGAGTATATCCTTGTGCGACCAAACTGGCTTTATTTCTCATCACAAGACCATGTTTATTAAGTTTATTTTTAAAGATCCATTTGGTCCCTATGATATTAACATCACTAGGTTAAGACACTAATTCTCAAACATCATTTTTCACAAATTAAAGCAATTCTTCTTGCATAGTCATAAGCCAGTCAGAACTTTGAAGTGCTTCATCAACATTTTTTGGTTCAAACTGAGTCATATGACATGAGTGTCCTATATCATCTATCATGCATGAGTTTCTTAACTAATCACGGACTGTACTCATTGTACCAGGCTTATCCCATAGACCTATTTCATTATCAACTGGATGACTTGATTGAACCCTAGAACTATTAGATGTGGGAATATCTAATGATGGTACAAGAATTCCTATAGGTTCATCAGTGATGGCCTCTAGTTCCTCATCAACATCCTCTTCAACCTCTTCAGTTCTCCACCTAAATTCACAACTTTTTTTCCCTCATAAATTATAGGTTCATCCCTACTTCCTACAATTTTAAAATTAGTCTCATCCTCATTAAGTTGAGAAGATATTACCTTAGGCCTTGTGTCATCAAACACAATATTAATAGACTCCATAAAAACTTTGGTTCTTATATTAAAAACCCTCTAAGCCCGACTTGTTTGTGAATACCCCAAAAATACACCTTCAACACTTGTAGAGTTAAATTTTTCCAAGTGTTCCCTATCTTTAAAGATATAACATTTACCTCCAAAGACTCTAAAGTATTTTACAGTGGACTTTCAATCATACCACAATTCATATGAAATCTTTTTAGTTCCAAGCTATTGTCAATAAAATAACCAGTCGCAATAAAATGAATCTTTAACAGATAGGGCTACTTAGAGGGTGTCGACCCATAACGACTATGGTGGAATATCAAGTGTTCAATTAATACGATTTTGATTCAGAGATAAAAGATTGTTTGATTTGGTGTGTGTCACAAACATAAAATATATATATATATATATATTGAATAAAGTAAAGGGATTATGTTCGGAGAGAGAAGATATTAGGGATTGACTTCACCACGAACCTCATACTATGGTCAACTGTTCAACCTTGACATTTCAACAATGATGTATCATTTAGAATTAAACTCAATAACATTCATTTAATTTGGTTTAAAGAAAGATATTTCATGAATTTCAACTAACAATAACCTATCTTCGATTAGCACGAATTATCTACATATCTTCGGTTGACACGAATTATCTACCTACCTACTTCCAACTAATATTGTAGTATAACTTGTCTTCCCTAGGCATAGGCTATGAAAATATTTATTCATGAAAAATGTTGGAACACCATTGAATGATCTCTATTTTTATTGTCCAAAAAGCCCTTAGCCGCCAATCTCATACATTAAGAATAAGTCGAATATAATTTAAGAACAATTAAATCTAAAACAAGGTATTAATCATTCAAAAACTATTTAACTCATTAAAATCCAATTGATCTAAGTCAATTGCTCATAATTATGCAATTAAGATACATAAATAGTTAAATTCCCAAAGTTGCAACATTCAAAACATATTACTCAGATTCGGGTTACATCAATGCCCTAAGAGAGAATTTAGCTACTCATGACGATGCAAGATATCATATGTGTTGCTGTGGTCTTCATCATAATGGACTGCACTTTTCTTTTGAGGATCTTCACCTTCAATGCTTCAAAACAACTACCAAAAATCCTAAAAGCCGCCATTAGATCTAGAATAATGAAAACTAAAATGAGATAATCAAAAGTGCTTTTCTATGGCCATGTACAATATTTTATAGAAGCAACTGACTTCTAATAAGGATTGGATGGGCTTTAGGTCTTCTAAGGTCATTTGGGCTTGTCTGGGATGAATTATGACTTAATTAGAATAAATTCCATAACTTAGAATTTTGACTTAGCAACAAAGGGTCGAGCAGAAAAGCTTTTGCTTGAGCCTTTTGGACTGTGCTCAAGCAGGAATTCCATACTTAGTTAATTTTGTTCAAATCTTCTTCGAAACGTCTTTTTCATCAACTCTTAGAATAATTTTGGGATATTTCTTCATGGTGCTCGATCAGCTTGCTTGGGTGCTCAAACTTTAGGACTTTTGCTTGAGCTTTTTGGTTTCTGCTCGAGCTTTTTGACTTCTGCTCGAGGTTTGGCAACATAGAACTTCCGAAGCGCCTTTTTATATTCTGAGGCAATTTCTGCTCGAGCCCTTTTGCAAAGGCTCGAGCACCTTGAGTCTCTACTCAAGCTTTTGGGCCTTATTTTTCTTGCTTCAGTTGACTTTGTGCTCGAGTTGTGGAACTTATGCTCAAGCTTTGGCACTTAAAGTTTTCCAAAATCACCATTTTGACTCCAAGCTTGCTTAAGATAATCAGCAACGACTCTGTGAGCTTCAATATCAGTTTTTTTTATCATAAAATTTTGGCTTTAACCATTTCTTTGGGAAAGTACCTATAAACACGAAGTAAACACAAATTAGTCTAAAACTTGATAGAAGTACTACTTAATGTCTTAACATACACACGTTTAGGGGCTTGGATATACAAACCTGTTTTCATATCATAATGTCCCAGCAATGCATCAATCAATAGAAAACAACAAGTATAAGGAACTATATTACTCAGGAAAAATTTCAAACTTTTAACATTATATCAGCAATCATGGTCCCTATATGTCAGTTTAATCACATATTCAACAATCTCAATCCCCAAAAGCTTTTTTTATAAGTAAACCTATAGTTTTAAACATGTGGCTTACTCTCCATACTCATATCTGTTTCATGCCATCCCTCAATTCACAAGTAAATTATTCAAATCCCGATCTCCAAGGTATTTTTCTTATTTTCCCAGGTATGCTTTAATTTTATTCATCACTCATTTTTTAATTTTTTTTCTTCAAATAGGGTACTGTGTAATGCTCAGGTCTCTTAAATTCTCTAAATCACTTGTATAATGAGTTTTCAGCCAATGACTCCTAAACCAGATGGTTTTAGGCACTAAGTGTCAAAACACCCCTAAGGACTTAATTGCTAAAGCAATCTAGGCTACAGACCCAAACTTAACCTTTTGTTTATTTTTATTTTGTCTCTTTCACTTTTCTGTGTGAGTCCTCAATACTTAATGAGGTTAGAGTTCCAATTACTCGATGAAAAAACTCTTTTCATTTTTATTGCATGCATACCATTTTTATATCTCGGTTCTCAAAAATATCAAATTCACATACTCATCTCAGTTTAACACAAAACAAAACAAGATTTTAAGTTTATACCCCACAGAATGCATGTAAGTGTGAACATGTGTAAAGTGAAGTATTCTAGAGATCAAAATTATCAAACTGCAGTTATCATGACAAAATGGACCATAGGCCACCAACTAATATAAAAAAATTTCAAAAATTCTCAATTAACAGAAATTCGGCATACAAGCCATCTTTAACCAACTTCAGACTGCTTATAAATATCATAACACAACAACAGATTCAAAACTCATGCTAAAATCACATGCTCTCAACTCTATCATGCAGATTGCAAATTTTAAAAAAAATTTAAAATTTATTAAATTTTTCACTATAACTTGCAATTATATTACCTTACCTCCAAACTTGAACTGCATAGTATCCTCAATGTGCAATGAGAACAAAATTAGAACAAGGGTTAGAACAATATTACCATAGAAGTGATGAATATCAAAGTAAACCATCCAAAGCATAGGCAATTGTCAAGCAAGATGGTGCCCCCAAACTTGAATGCAAAAACCTGTCAAGGAAAGCAACTAGACACCACCACGTGAGAGTGAACAAAGATAAAAAAGAATAAGAAATCACCTCACAATATCAAGCATGCAAAACAAAGATTCATGAGAAATTTTTTATTTTGTATTTTTTCATCAAAAATAACCTAAACTAACCTAATCTAAAATAAATAAAATAAAAATACACAAATACACTAAGAACCTAGAATATAAAATAAAAACCTAGAAAACAAAAGAAGATAGAGAAGAAAAAGAAAAAGAAAATAAAACAAATCGAACTAAAGTACAAACCCACAAATGCTAGGTTTAATGTTGCTAGCTCGACGCAAATGCTAAGTTTAACGTTACCAGCTCGACGGTACACCACTCCCTAGCCTGTATCCAACAACTCAACTACCTCTCTTATCCTAAAACCAGTCATGTGGGTTCTTGTGGAATGTGAAGCAATGGAAATTGGTTTGGTTTCATTAGGACCGAAGAATTAGTACTCAAGCTTATCCGGTGGTGGATTAGGCTCAAGGTTGTGAGAAAACTCCTGAGAAGGACACTGATGAGAAGATATCAAAGGTGGAAGTTCTCTAACTGGAAAGACGGTGATTGAATCCCTGTCAATGACATCAAGAAGGAAATACTCGTCTTTTTTTGAGGAATATGGGGTGCCATTGAAGATGTTTAATTGACCTTCATGTCCCCAAAAGAAATATCCATAGCCCCAGTCCTACAGTTAATGTAGCATTTGTTGTAACCAAGAATGGACGACCGAGGATCACATGAATACATCTACTAGGATTGTGGACAGGCTCTGTATCTAGGACAAGAAAGTCAACCAGAAAATATAACTTATCCATTTTAATAAGA